AGAAAAGCTTTGATTGTTTTCCAGAGTTTCTGAAAAACTGGTTTTTCAGAAAAGCGGGCCTTCGAGGCCCTAGGAACAGCTCTCATATTCATATTCGGAATCAGCATAATCGATAACCTTTAATCCACTAGGTTTCGTTGAAAAAGCACGGGGGCACTTAAAAACGTTCCCTCGTAAGTAGTTCTGTGACAGAAAAAATAGATATCGAACCTCGTCAAACTCTCTCGATGTGATGGAGAGTTCATGACGTGAACATCACGTCATTCTGTAGCAAGGGGTAATCAATAATAAACTGCTAAAGTTAAACATATCACCGATAGATTTCTTGTGGTCCAAGAACTCTTCAGTATATTCGTTCTAACAATAGAGTCTCTTCATTGAATGTGTTTTGTTTTTCTTCAGGAATATGCAATGATTCTTAATCGTCAATTACATCCGAAAAATAATGAAAAATTGGGTAAACAATTTGAAGTTAAAAATTTGGATTTATTAAGCCAAGACCAAGCAGAACAATTGTATGAACTTTATTGTGTAATAAAAAATACAACAACACCAGAAACACCAGCCACTCCTCCTTCCACTAACACTCACTCAACTGGTCTCTAAATCTAAATTAGGATATGCTTTATTTAATCAATCGAGAGAGTAATCATTTTATCATCTCTTCATTTCTCGAATGCCGTCTATTTTATCACACAACAGTACAATATCAATAAGAATCTGTTTATTTCACACAAATGTCATATGAACGTCTATCTTATTGCTACCAGTTTTCCACTCTTGTTTAGGCACGAAGATAGAACAGTTAAGTCTGAATGGCATTACATTTTTGACAAATAATTCATAAATGTGTTGTGTAGTTTAATTATTTCGACTGGATATGCCTTCATGAATATTTGACCTCCAAAGAACTGTGCCTTAGAAAATGTTATCATTTCCATTTTTCAATTTTGTAGTTAATATGTGAGTGAATATCTGTATAGCATATTTGATCTATGACATGAATAAAACTACATTCATTTCTAAAAATTCGTCTTATTTTAGATCGGTCAAAAAGTATCATTTTCATAATTAATATTAGAACTACTTCGTTCGATATTTGATTGTACAGAAATACGTGTAATACAATGTAATTTATCCTTGCTAAACATGCGATATCAGACTTAGCGCAAACCAAAAGATTAGATGAAATAATTTTTGAAAAATATATAGTGAAAAATTACAGATTTATCTTTCAACGACTTAGAGATTTTTGTACATTGACTTTTTTATCCGCTGTAAACAGTGCATAATTTTTTTTTGTTTTACTTCAGATGTAATATTAAAATCAAGAAAAAAAATCTATTATTTATAAAAATATGTTACGTACACCAGTGCTTGGTAAGTTTATGTATTGTTATAGAACACATATTAAAAGAGATACAAAGATGTTGAATGCTCTCTGTTCCTTTTTAATATATATTAAAAATGGAACGAGATAGCAAGGTGAATCTTTCACGATTTTGTAGCGAAAAATTTTGCCCTCTTTTCTCATATTTGGTATTAAAAACCTCGCATGATCGAAAAAGATGAGGTTGCCGTGTGCCCAGATCATAATAAATTTTAAATTCTAATACTATGGTTGAATATCCCAAAGCGTTCTTTATAAGACTACGCGACAAATAAACAAAATCGCTAAGGATTCGAGTATAAGACTGAAACTCGTCTTGAGATCGGTAGGTGAAGAACTTACACAAAATCTATGGAGAAGAAGCATTTTTCTACAGCATGTATATCTCACCATGTTTGAGTCATCAATTTAATATAAGCAAATATGAGTTCTCGATCATTCTAAATCTTATGGTAATGTTTGTTTTCAGAAAAAAGTGAGAAAATTGTTAGCTATGAGCATCCAAAGGTAAATTCATATAGTGTTCAGTATCCAACCAAAAACTTACACAACATGATCAAACAATTAGATCTAATACCTAAAACACCGAAAAAACTTTCGATTTATCCTCTAAATTCGTGCATCAGGTATGCCATCGGAATTATTACTAAATATATGAGGAAAGAGAATCATTTGTTATCAAATGAACAGAGCAAGATGTCTTTTCTGCTTTATCCTCTTAAGAGTTTCCCTTCTTATTTGAAAAAATTTTCGAATTTTTTTGAACATAGCTTAATCTATAAGCTTTTGCTCAAAAGGCTACAAAACTTAAAGCTTTTAGTACCACTAAGTTTTCTCTCCTTTCCAGTGTCTGCAATTTTTGCAAGTTTTGCAATTTTTTTCTTTTACATAGTTTATTAGAGCAAAGTGCTTGCATTACAACCTTCAAAAAATTTCTAATGGTTTTTCGCGGAGATATGAGCATCATCGCAATTGTCAAGAGAAAATGATCTATCTAGTGCTGATAGTTTCGATTCAACACTTCAAAAACTTCTTTCGATCGAACCCAAAATTCTATCACAAGTACCAAAGATGACATTTCAAGCGCTTTTACCATTTTTTTCATATCTCGAGAAGGCAAAATCACAAAAGTAAAAATAAAACTACCGTCCTAAAATATCATCCAAGATGCCTATGATAAAATGTTGAACCCTATCGGATGAAGTTTTCGATGGGTCACAATGGACACCAATAGACACCTAAATTTTATAGAAAAGCCATAAAAGAACACATCACAAACTTTTGGACAAAAATATATCGATTTTCTTTTTCGACATTGTATCTCTAGTAAAAATTTGGAGCCAATCGGACCTTTACCAATAAGAGAGCGGGTACCTTTAAAAAGAAGCTTATGTTCTTCGAGGTTTGTAATAAAATTGATTATACTGACGAACAAAGACTCCTACGTACCATGATAATTTTTCATCAAAACTTATTTTGTTAGAAATAGTTTTCTATGCTAGTGACGAATCCGTTCGTCATCACACGGTCTTTTAGAATCTCTGTATAAACTTGAGATTTTTAGAAATCTATCAAGGACTTTCGTTTGAACAAATTCGGATTTTAAAGAATATCAAGTTATCTATTTGCACAAGTTTTCAGCACTAACGAAGCAAATTTTTGCCAAAGTGGAAATTTTTTTTATCGAGAAAAGCACTTCATCTCAGTCATCCTGATGTTATCTAGACACAAAACTGAAATTTTCATAACTAGGCAAAAATTTGTTTTGTTAGTGCTGAAAACTTGTGCAAATAGGTAACTTCATATTCTGTAAAATCATAATGTGTTCAACGAGAGTTCTTGATGGATTTTCAGATACCTCAATTTTACACGGAGGATGACGAACGGATATCAGACTTGTGACCAGCATAGAAAACTATTCCTAACAAAATAAGTTTTTATGAAAAATTATCGTGGTACTGGAAGACTATCTCTTTTAAACTAAATGAACTTTGCTCGTTGATACAAGACTCAGTTGTTCTTTTTTAGTTTCATCGCTAACAAAATATTTAATTCGTTTTGCCTCATCGTCTGCCATAACAAAAGCTGATCTTGGCGCATTATCGTCATCGATATCATCAGATGACACAAATATTCAAACACCTCAAAATATTGCTGTAGCTCTATGTATCCAACGATATCCACATCTTTCACCTGAAATGTCAAAGTTGGAATCAGATTACAGTGATTTAATAGAAAAATCAGAAACAGCTGAAAGTTATCTCTCCGACCATGAATTACGTATTAAACGAGAATTGTAATATAAGTAAAAAGTAAAAGAATTTAATAGAAGATCACTGATATCATATAATATTTTTAGACAAACAACCCAACAAAAACCAAAAGAAATAGCTACATCTACAACAAAAAGTCCATCGACATCAGCAGCAATTGCAGTCGAAACAGCACAAGATTTTGAAGACAAAATGAATAAAGAATTTAAACAATTTCAATTTGCTCTGAGACAAACAGGTAATCTTTTTAATTTTATTTTTTAATTAATTTATTATTGACTAACTTCATTTAGACGATGATAAAACGAATAATATTAAGAGTCAAAATCGAAAATTAGATCAAAATTTATTATTGATTGTTCAACGAAAAAATGAAAAGAATGGAAAAGATGAATGGATATTTCCACAAAAACTTTATGAAGGAGAAAAATCGTTAAGAATGGTAAAATTGCAACATTCTTATCCTATCGATTACTCAAACTTAATTTTTGCTTTATAATTTATTCTTTAAAATTAACTGTTCTTGTTTTAGACAGCTGATCAAGTACCATCAATATGTGGAAATTTAAATGTTCAAATATTAGGAAATGCACCATGGGCATGGTATAAAAGTTCAGATAAAACAGATCCAATTAAAGTAAGTCAATTATTGAAAATATAAAATATTGACAAGATGTAAAAGTAGATTTAGTTAATATACTTATAAATGGTAGTAGAATAATTATTATTTTTGTTTAGATATATTTTTTCAAAGGCGAATATTTATCTGGTACAATGAAACAATTTTCGTCTAAAACATCATCAATTTATACTGACTATGCATGGATAACACACGACGAATTACCAAAATATTTATCATCGTCCTACTACAAAGCTGTTAAAAATATGCTTTTTATATTTTAATATTTTTGTTCTCACTGTTTTTTTTGCTATAACAAATATAGAAACTAAATCTTTTGTAATGAAATGAGTGTGAATGATATGTTTGTTGTTCAAGACATTAAAACGTATTCGAAAGACTCGTTTATTGATTATAGATGAATATTCCACATCTTTCCACCTATTTATCACCAATGGTGTATGATCTGATATCTACTGCTATAGTGGACTCTTTTAATACAAGTAATGATATTAATTGCTCTCTCTCACCATCTATCGATAAACTGAGCAAATGTATGGTTATCAAGGGTAAAATGTGTATAAATAACATCACAATATGTGGTTAGTTGCAATATGGATTTGTTTAGATTCGAGTGATAATGAGAGTCAACTATCTGAAATTAATTATAAACAATCAGTGGAACGATTAAATATTGAATTGTTAACACAAATTTACAATTATTTTCAAAATTTAACCATTGATAATTTTAAAATGTTATATGATCAGGAGTTGTTTTGGTTAGAAGATAGACACGTAGGTAGCCTTAAAACTAAACATTTTAATATTGTCCGAAAAATGTTTTATATATGCGCATATCTAATAGAAATATCTGGAGTTCATTGAAAGATTGAAATATGTTAAACATTGTAGGCATTATACAAAATTTATGAATTACTCAAAGGTGGTGAATGTTACACACATCTTGGAATATTGTTGTTAACTTCATTAACTGAAAGAAATTTAGGAAATGTAAATTACTAATTAAATATTTGATTGAATAAACTTTCTATTATTTTTTCTTAATATATAGTTAGTTCAATTAAAAATGAAATTGATTCCAAATTTATTAAGACAAATTGTTGAATCAAATACATTACATGATATAATAGGCTCGGATTTAGTGGGTATAAACATTTCAGATGAATAAGATAATTCTTTATCTTTCACTTTTTTCATTAGGTAACTATTTTTCGATTGTTAATTGGTACACCCAAATCCATTAATCTACGAAATATCTATTGGCACGGTTTTGTTCAACTCAATGAAGTTTCAATTAAGTATGAACGAAAACTTTAAAATATTGATGACTAGAATCTTTTCATTTAAGATACTCCTATCTTTTACTGTATTTATTATTACAAATTGGTCCCATTTTACGGTTGTCTCATACTGTTGATATAATCACACGTAAATATATTTCACTTGATAAATTTAATAATAATAATTTTAAAATGCCAGGTAATGATAGTTTATCTAACATCAAAATCACTTAACTATTATTTATCTTTTGAAAATTAAATAGATTTACTAGATAATGTAGATCAGATAACATCAATAATAGCTCATAGTCACATTATTGATTATGGTTTTAAACCATTATTAAAACAAAGCTTTGATTATTACAAACAGAAAAATTATGGTTATAGTCTTGCTCTATTATTACCAGTATATGAACATATTTTACGAAAATTATTTGTCAGTGTCAATAACTGTATCGATCGTTTATTAACTGCTGAAGTTTGTCCTTCTTTACTTATATATTTTTGTATTTTTCTAATTATATTATGTTTATAGGCAACAACACTTTACACAACATTGGATGAGGTAATCATTTGAGTAATGTTTAAGATATACAATTGATTTGTTTTATATCTTAGATATTATGTTGTTGTTTACCAGACGGTTCTTCGAACAAATTATGTATAGAATTAGGATATGGTTACATGGTAAGATTTTTATTTTCAGATTTATTCTCCGTCTATAGATTATATTCTTCTTTAGAGTTTATTGGGTGATTTGATAACATTGCCCGAAGGTGTTTGTTTACGTTCAAAATTGAGTCATGGTGAAATTGATATTAATAATGTTCATCAAAATTTAACAAATACCGCTATTTGTCTTTTGTTGACATTGATAATTCGATATGATAGTTCACAACATATTTGTGTATGTAATGGCATGTTCCATATCAAAGAGTACTCGTAGTTTTGTTATTTTTTTTTGTCTAGGATAATTTTAGTCAAACACTATTGGATACTGTATCAAATTATAAAACTTGTTATCATCCAGTCTCAATAGCAAAAAATGGGGTTTATGATTGTTAATTAGAGACAAATTTGCTTATATTTTCTAACTATGTGTTATTTAGATTATACAGTGTATTACAAATATGAAAAATCTTCCAGAAATTGGATCTCTTGTACTCGATTCTTTATTGACTGATAATAATAATAGGTCATTTTTTAAATGAGCTAAATTCTCTCTGATAATTCAATTATTCATTCGACTTGTTTAGAACGACGAATTTTTTTGCAATTCAAATGAAATTAAACAATTTTTGGAGAACTGAAATAAATGGTAAGTATAAGTATTAAATGTATGATGGCATTTCAACTGGAGCTGGGCGAGCCCGGGGAACACCATATCCGAGTCCATTTCAAGTTCGACAATTTTTTCAAACCCTTTTTGGCTGTCGTTATTTATATTTCTTTTCTCCTATACTGTACAACACATCAATCTTATTATAGGAGAAAAAGTGACATAAGTAGACATCTGTTGCATATCCCATACTGATATTGTAAAACTGAAAATTTTTCTGTTGATTTATGTAAGAATTTGAATTGATCAGACTTCAAACACAAAAACTCAAGTTCGAATCCGAGTCCACCGAAAAATTTTCTAGTCCGAACTCGGACTCTCTCAGCTCTGATTTCAACAGCAAAAAATCATATTTTTTCTTGTTAAGATAATCTGACTGTTTTAATATAGGTTTCGATAATTTATTAGTTGATAATGGAGACGTCTCTTTAAAAAGTATAGAAGCTATTTTATTCGATCATAGTAAACCGCTAAATTTAATAAATCGATATTGTTCACATTGTACGGTAAGAATCATCATCATCTCTCTCACTCTCAACAATTGTTTCATAATTTTGTTTTTAAGAAAACAACATATAATGAACAACCAATAATAACGTTAATTCGTCAAATGTCAACTCTTATTCTAAATATTCTATTAAATATTCAATCATTTGTTAAACTTCGAGAAAATGACTGTGCTTTGAAACAACTACGTGAAAGACAACGGGAAAATTTAAATCGATTTTTGAAACTGTAAGTTTTTTAATAATCATATCTAATAAATTTTATAGAAAACTTATTGTTGAATGATAGATATAGTTTCTTACAATATTCATTGATTTTTATTTGTCAACTGAATTCAATAATATTATGGTCATTGGATGATTTAAAAAATATTGATGTAAAATATACAATTCTGTTGCAAAAGTATATTTTTTTTAATCTTATCTATTTTTTTTAAATTATTAATCTGTTTTTGATTTAGACTGCTACGTGTTTGGTTAACATATTTGGAAAATACATTAACATTATCGAGTTCAGCAAGAAATCGATGGGATGAGATAGATGCATTGTGCATGACAACAATTGAAAAGTCAAATGTAATATTAAAATAATTGTCTTTTTTTCATGTATATATCACAGTGAAAGTTAAAAAGTGTCACTGCATTTTAACATATATTCTAGAATCATTCTTTGATATTTTTTTTACACTATATTTTTTGGAATATTAAAATCACAAGTAGAAAAACAAGATATGAAATAAATTGAACTCTAAACTCTAAATGAGAAAGAAAAAATAATTTCTGTTGTGTTTAAGGGGAAAATGACGACATTTTGGGGTAAAATTGACTTCACCATTCGAAAGAGCTCGAAAAACTACATCGGATTCTGTTGTGTTTGATCAAAAGTGCATCAAGCACCCAGTAACTATTTTTTCAAACAAAAATCTTTAACTAATTTTAGTCGAATTTATATCCCGATCAGGATATAAAACACGAAATTTCGTCGTAAAAACGATTAAGAGGAAAATTACGAGATTTTGGGCTAAAACTGACGTCACCATTCGAAAGAGCTCGAAAAACTACATCGGATCGATGTAGTTTTAACTACCTGTTCGATGCCCACATATATTGAAACACAATTCTTTTCTCATGCGTCGACAATATATAAATATACGTGCTTTGTGTTTAACGGGAAATTTTCTAACTATCCGTTCTTGCAGATAAACTGCCTTATGTTC